TAGATATGTTGTTGTCTCTGGTAACCTTTAATGAACTTATGCTGATCAAGACTGAAACGATGAGGTTTTAAGGATTTGTTTATAGATAAGAGATGGGATATGGGAAGAAGAGATCATTTGTATTTAAGAGGAGGTGATGCGTTACGAAAATTGTTTATACTTGTGTGAAGGGAAAAGTCTTTTCTTTATATATTTCTTTTCTTTTTCTTTACTATAGTCTTATTTTTTTCTTTCTTTTCCATTTTTTTCTATTATTTCCTGCGCCTTCTATTTTTTCTTTTTTTCTTTTTTTAGTTTGTATTAGTTTTTTATTGTTGTAATCATAATTTTTAATAAAATTACTATTTAAAATATTCTTGTTTTTGCAGGATAGATTAGTGGCAGTCAAGAGTCCCTAATAATCCCAAGTATGGGGGGGCGGGGGGATCATATTCCATGTTGAGAAAACATGAGAATAGATGGATAACACATTCAATATTTTTGCTTGCCAGAGCTGTTTGATTACTGCATATTGTCCTCAATTTGCTGCAACCAGTATAGTTAGAGATATAATACAAATAGATACTCTCCAGAGTCTGAGAAACACATGAATTTTTGTACTTCCTATTATCAGTATAAAATTGGGCTGCCTTTAGTTCTTGAAAGAAGAAAGAGCCTGTTTTAATTGTGAAGAGGGCTCAATTTCTGTATTAATAGAATTATACCAGTACATGGGTGGCAGAAATTATGCATGACTTCTCTTTTTTATATTTCATGTGCAACCTCCTTTTACTTCTGATTGACTTCTATTCTTTGCATGCAATCTCACAGCAATCCTGTGTAAACTGTGGCCGGGAGGCAATGAATGAATGCACTGGTTGCCATAAAGTCAATTACTGCTCAACGTTCTGTCAACGGAAGGTATTACACCTCTTATGCATTTGAAATACAGTTGTCCTGCGGAGCTGATGAATTCCTTAGTAATTCCAAGTAATTCCTAAGCTCACTTAGAAATTGGGTGCTAAAACCTTTGGTATGTTCCATCTTTCTTAAATACTTATCCTAGACAAGTTGAAAAAAGGAAAAACATGAACTCCTAATAAAATTATCTAACTAAAAGCAGAAATTTATTACAATCCAAAACCAAATTGCACTAACGTTGTAAATGGCAGCAAACCACAATATTCCTGAGTTAAAGTACCAAATTAAAAAGACCCATGTTTCTAAAAGTGTTTTTCTTTTATACCAAACGGTGAAAACCTAAAGGAATAAAATGAGGGAAACACTCTACAGTGGAATGGCATCCTTCATATTTTTTTAAGATGAAAAGTAGCTCTTCTTTCTTGGTTTAGTCTAGGGCAGTGGTTCCCAACCTTTTCTATGCCCCACACCCCTAGGAAATGTTTGATTAATGTTCACGCCCCCTACAAAAGTAATACCACATTTGAAGATGAAGTCTAATTTCTAATGTGGGTGAACAAATTGAACTTAAAAAAATAAACTTTTAACTCAGTGCATAAAATTGTCACACCCCTGAAATTCTATCTTGTACCCACTGGAGGTGCGGGCACCCCAGGTTGGGAACCCTTGGTCTAGGACTACAAGGTCTGGTCTGCAAAACCCAAACAGCCACTAGATGGGATCAAATATTCTGTAGCTTTTTGCTACCATCCAGTTGTCAACTAGATTTTTGCAGCTGTGATCCAGTAGCCCTAGTGTAATCATTGGTGGTTGCTCAAAAGTACTAGATCATACACTTTTGGACTACAAATTGATGTCAGCCTTACTAGGTAGACCAGACAGAAAACACAACCAGATGAGCTAATTCTACCTTATTGAAGGTTATATTAACAGAATCTTACAAGTCTGAAAGTACTTCTCTCCCCCCCCCCCCCCCCCCAGTCACCTTTACAGTCCAAAAAACTAGGGAGGGTCTCTTCTGAGCCTCTTGCCCCATCCACATTCCTGCTGGGGGCTAAGCTGTGTTTTTTCTGACTGTTCCCTTGGCTGTGTCTCATTGCCCTGTCTCCCAAGGTCATTCCCAATTGTGTTAACAGTGACATTCCCTGGTCCCTATTCTATGTTGCTGTAGTTTTATTTCACTCAATAATTGTTTCCAATTCACAGTCTGTTTTTTGCTGCTCATTTTCAGGACTGGAAAGACCATCAGCATATGTGTGGACAGTCAGCCACAGTAACAGTTCAGACAGAAGAAGATCATGATACAGATAATGTGATTGAAAAAGTTATTGTCTAAAAGCCTTCTTTCTTCCATTTTCATGGATTGTGTATGTAGCAGACTGGCTGGACCAGCAATTCCTTTGTGAAGTTCTGTGATTAAAATAAAATAAAGCAAAACAAACAAAATCCTGTACTTATCAAGATGATGAAGACATAATATTAACTACACGTTGCTGGCCAACATCTGAATCTTCTCTCACAAAGCAAAAAATTAAAGCTTATGGTCACAAGACCCTCAAGGATCTCCATTGCTTTAAGGGAACTCCAGAAGTTGGGTGATCTTTACAGGGTTCTCTATAAAGCCTCTGAAAAGCACATGGGTATGTTAAATGGCTCCCTCCTGCTGCTCTGATGGATGATTCTTCAAAGTATTTTGAAAACGTTATTTAAAGCAGGTTCTGAGTCTGCATCCTTCTAAGATTCCTCTGAAGAGGTTTGAATAAAAATTGTAACAACAGGTCTTTGTGATTCTTGTTCAAATATGAAGCAGTTTCATATTTCAGCGTAAATTCAGTAAATTTAGTTTCCTGATGCCTTTTAAATCATCCCTAGAATACATATGGAATCTGATTCTATTGATGATTTAATTTTTGTTGTGTTATTTAGAATTCTCTCTAAAAGTTTTCCAATACAGTGAAAATTCTGCATGGTATGGACAGTGTTGGAAGTATCATGAACCTTTTGTAGTTGTTACACTGAGTGTAAATATAAATGTGGAATATTTTAATGCACATGGGGAATAACTATCTGTCAGTAAGTTTTGAAGGTTTTGCAGGAAGATTCAAAGGCAAAATCTTCCTTGTTAAGTTTAGCATCTGAAGACAACATGGACATACCTATATGTTTTCCTTGGCAAATGTACAAAAGTGTTTTGTCCTTGCCTTCTTTCAATATTTTTTTAAACCCCTTTCTACCCTCAGATTTCATTGTGGTTCCCATCTAAGTAGCATGACCCTGTTTTGTTTTTTCAAGGTCAACCAAGGTCAGGTAGGTGCTGTTACCTGCTGGGTCTATTAAATAATTACACTAACAGGTCCACACTCCTGAACCATGTAGACTTCAAACTACATTCCTGTTATTCTGCTAGACCTTCTCAACAGTTTATCCCAAGACGGAGTTGTAATGTGAATAGCAGTTTTAACATTAAGTGATTAGCCTGCCATCCCAGTGAAATGGTAGGGCATGCCCTCATTTATGGCTGAGCAGCAAAAATTGTACTTATTTGCCAGTCACATACCACTGAGGACATGTAATTAAATCACAGTTCATTGCAAGAAAACATAGGTAAATATACTGTGATATATGGTACATCAGAAGCAGGTCAGAAAAAGTATTGATGCTTTTGAATGTTGGTGTTGGGGAAAACTCTTGAAAACTCCTGGATAGCCAAGAAAACAAACAAATGGATCGTAGAACAAATCAGTCCAGAATTCTCACTCAAAGCACAAATGATCAGGCTCAAATTATCATATTATGTGATACATGGGAAGAATCAGCTCTCTTGAAAAGTCCATAGTGTTGGGATAGGTGGAATGAAAGAGAAGAGGATGACCAGCAAGATGAGTGAACTCAATTACAGTGGTGATGGGACACAGCTGGCAGATTTGAAGGACCAAGTTGGTAATAATCATCCCAGAGAAAGTCTGTCTATGTGGTGTTAAGAGTTGATACTAACTTGATGATGCTTAAGCAATTAAAAAAAAATCAAATATGGTAAATTGACTGAACCAAGTCAGTGCTTTCTATCCAACATCATATGAATGTTCTTCCTTTCCTTTCCTTTCCTTTCCTTTCCTTTCCTTTCCTTTCCTTTCCTTTCCTTTCCTTTCCTTTCCTTTCCTTTCCTTTTTTTTCTTTTTCTTTTTGCACCTCCCTTACGTCCCAACTCTTGTTCCAGAGGGTCCATCAATTCTCTGGAACATATTTGGGGGAGGTGCAGTGGAAGAAGAAATAGGTTCTCCAAGGTGCCTGTTCTGCTGTTGGAAGAACAATGCAGAATGGTATGGCTTTGTTTTCTTATAATTTTGATTTTCATACTTCTGAGTTTATAAGTGAAAAGAAAAAAAAAGATCTCAGACACCTTTCTGGAACTCAGCAGAACTCAGCGATCAAATAATTAAACATTATTTGCACCTAGTTTACAGCTTTCTGTTTGTACTGCCAAAAATAAGAGCAAAGGTGCAACTGTGTATTTCCTCAGCATCTCACATGAGGAGAGAGAATCTTACATCCTAGCAAGACGATTAATTCTAAAATAGCACTTCTTGGGTGTTAAAAATCACAATAGATTTAAAAAAGCACTGGTTTTAGGCCAAGTATTGGGAAAAAAAACTTTAGAGAGATATTGGTGCTATTTTGTGGAAGACATTTCTGGCCTGTCACAGAAATGTGCGTTATAAATTGATTGTGCGTGTGCGTGCAATAGATCTAAACAACGACACACCAAATATTCCAGCTGAGGTAGGGTGAGACTTGTTTCAGTGCAGTGTTGGTAAATGTAGTAAGGGATTTTGTAAATGTAACTTAAATACACATTTTCTTTGTGCTTTAGTGCATTAGCATCAAAATGGGTAAGAAGGTTTTTCCCAGTGATGCCCAAGGTAGCCCACTTTCAAACTGTAAATATTGAAAGCAATTAAATAGCCCATACAAACATCTTAAATAATAGCCAAAGAGTGCATTCTCTTTCATTTAGGGAAATGTGTGGTGTGCAGGGGGTGTTGTTATCTACAATACGCAAATATAGCTGCCCCTTCTACAGGTTAAGGCAGTGTTTCTCAAACTTTGCAAATTTAAGATGTGTGGGCTTTAAATCCCAAGAATCCCCAACCCCCCATCTCGTCT